TTTTTTTTTTTAATTTTCCACGTTGGTAGGTAGGTAATTAAATTGTTTATACCATCTAAGAATAGTTTCCTGACACAAACTTAATTTTTATCATACACTAAATAACACAATTTTTGGAAATGTCGATGCATTTAAATCGAAAATTGAATGTCATGTTTGTGAATAGTTACAATTATWTGTATCTAYTATAATTACTCATTCATTAAATAAGACATTGAGTCATTTAWTTTGTAAAATCCACCCCYACCACCCCACCCGCCAACTAACACTAATATAGTTGGATACTATTGGGGTATTATCAATAATTATATACTAAAGATAAAAACTTATTATTAAATCAGTAACCTGAGAAAATTGTATGGATTTTATTTACCCCTGGAAAAGTGGAAACTCTCTATTGTGTTCACAACATTGMGCTGCAAATCATTATTACACCATAAAATAATTTTAGACATATATATGAAGGTATATATAACAACGTATTATTTGAAATCGATTACCTAATGATGATAATAATAATAATAATAATAATTAAGACTAGGATTCGTACGGATTTGAAAATGTTTTCTGGTTGATCGCATTGTACACAAAATAAGCACACAATACGTATAGGTACCTACTACAAAATATGCTGAATAATAACRCGAAATAGTTTAAGGAGCATASATTTTTGCATATTGCTATATTAAAATAATAAACCTATACCTAGTAGGCACTAGGTAACTAGGTAAGTATAGGTAAGTAAATTAAATTAAACCCTCTTTTAAAAATCACAATTTTCTTTAATTTATTCGARTCTTATAAGACTTGCCTAGGMACTTGAGTTTCACATTTAAAACTGTTACAGATGTCAGTTTTCTGAGTCAGAACTCTGAAAAATGTAAGACTTGTCGATTGAAGTTGGACGTAAGACATTTTGTTACTGTATTTCATAATTGAAAATTATAGTTTATTACAGTCTGTTACCATAAAACTAGGTATTTATCTAAGCCATAGAGTTTCTGCAAACCTAACAATAGGTAGGTAAATAATTCTTAAATAATTTTTAATATATTATAATAACAAAAAACAACAAATAGAGGCAAGAATAATTCAGGCGTATAACTATTATTTATTTATGGCTTATTCAGCCTTTAGTTTAATCCGGCCATGCATATGTATTATATATACCTACTATATCTATATCATATTTTATATTGCATCGCACGTGCAGCTTATTAATAATTATCCAGTGATGTGAATAATATAAAATATAATAATATGCATATTTTATAAAAACAATATAATATCATATAATTGGTATACCTACATAACATAATAGCCAGATTTCCACACTCGAATCTCGCGATAATTCAAACGCGATATTGCATTGATTATACAATTAATATTACATATTACAGCACTAACTTCTGCATGATAAACAGACTGATTGCATTAATATGGCACGTTGGCCTCCATATTTACTTTGATAATATATTCATTCAAATTCTGATTAATGGAATTTTTAACTATCATGCATTTATAAGTGATTGTGCCATTGTGGTGGTTATTTTTTTCAAATATTATAAACTTATAACCACCCTTTTTTGCAACCACATTTWAAGTACGTAATYTAAAAATTTATATATATAAATGTAYATAATAATTTTATAAAATGGAAAAAAATGAAGTTCAAATGAATTTTTTTCGAGTGATTTAATATTTATTAATACGTTCATATATATTGTGACCATGATGATTTGAAAATTATAGTTATATTAGAACTAATTAATATTAATACCTATTATTGTTACATTTTAAAATACAATTTTGTTTAAATTGTAGATAMATAAACAATTTCAAAAATATGAATTATAAATATTAGGTGATTAATGATTATGGTATTTCTTATTTGTAAAAAAAAAATTTCATCACCTGCACAATACATTTTTTAAAGGATATAAAAATCGACTTAAAGTACTTATCYAGAGTAACTTAGTAAGTATCGGATAATATGGTCATTAAGACGTATATTCCTACCTATTCAACAATTTCAATTAAATTTTTAATTATATAATATAAACGCAATCGAACTAATCGAAGGATAGAATAGCTTTAAATTGTAGGTAAACCTATTATTATTTTTAATGTCTATTATGTTTTATATTCATAGCTGTTATCCCGTATCATTATCATGTATGTATAGGTACCTAACATATTAGTGGTGGTGAATCAGGGCCCAATCCCTGAAGACCTAAATCACGTACTATTTGCGACAAGGGGCATCATTTAGAGGGAGGAGAGGGTGTACATTTGCATCAACTTTTTTTTTAAACGACTTCATTGGCCTGCCAACAATAAATACATACACTGATAAATATAATTATTTACACTACATATATTTTATAAGTCGTATTAATAAAAATATATTATGCTATTATGTTTTATTTTATTGATTATATAACTGTTTATTGTGCCATTGTGAGCACCCTTGCTCACATGGATACCCTTATCCATACTATAAATTGCAAGTATAATTTACACTGTACATAACAACATTTTAATGTTAATTATTAGATAGAAGATAAAAAGACTTACAATGTAATGGTAAAAAAAAAACTACTGTGCTGATTATAATAATATTCTGAAAAAACTAAAAAGTAAGTTCTGAAGTTGAATCAAAATAATTCTTCCTCCGTTCAATATCAGTTATTATTTATTTTTGAAATTTGATCATCATTGAATTATTGGTAGTCATAAGTATATACTTTGTAGTTAGATAAAAATGTTATGTTAGTCGCTAGTGTGTTAGTGTGTGCTTTACCATCTGTGCCCAATAATTGTAAACTTCAAAAAATAATTTATTTTATGTGTCTTTGAATTCAATATTATTATGTATTAATTATTCATAATTTATGAAAATACAGAAAATCAGCTTTAATCTACAATACTTAATAATACATTAAATATGCAGCGCTATAATGAATTTAATATGAAAGATAGTAAAGATACCTATTCATACACAGAATAAAATTCTTAATTTAGTTATGAAATAATATTACATTATATTCCTTTATCCTACATAACATGTATGATAATAGATATAGGTACAACATTAATAGGTAGGTATAGCATATTTTAGCTTATATGGTTATTTACCAAGAACAATTGTAATTTTAAAATAAAATATAAAAAATAAACTTTTGTAACAATTTGTAATATTTATTATTTATAAGTACATAATATTACAAAAGATTTTTATTCAGAATAATAATGGTATTAGCACAAAATATATTACATTTTGCCTAGTTTGTTACTCTGTGAAGTATTTTACACACCACCGATTTTATTTACACATTCTGTGTTCAGCTGTAATTTATATTTATATTTATCAATACTTTTTGGATAATACATATTATGTAACCCTTATAGGTACACATGTTTAACTTAAGCTAACACCGCTTGGTATAGTAAATAATAATACAGTTATAATAATATTTATATTATTATATAATATGATAGCACTTCTATCAGCTCTTAATTTTATTCCCAAAAATAAAATAAATTAATAGGTAGATAGTACCTAACATGTCATATTTAAAAAAAAAACAAAATAACAATGGCAGATTAAGTTATACTCGTTTGATATTTTATTCAAATGTATTATATATGTTCTTAACAATAACTAATAATATTAATAATAATTAATAATGATAAAAATTGAATAAAATCTTGGTACATAATATGATGGCTTAAGCCAATAATGACTAAACATATTGTTACGATTTGTTTCATGGAATATTTACAATTTATTAGAATATAGGATATTGTTTTCACAATAAAATCAACAAACAGTTAATATGTACACCAGTCATTTTTCGTTTAGCAATAATAATGTAGTAACATGTTAAATTAAAAATATAATGCACAGGACGGATCAACGAATTAAAAAAAAAAAAAATGTTTTTTGTAGTTTAACTAAAAGTAAAGTTAAGTAAATGCTATCTTATTTGAAGTAATATATAATAATACCATAAATATCATATATTCAGTTATAATAATAATATTAACTCAGTATTTTAGTTGGTTCTTAACTGGTAGTCTCCATTTTGGGTGATGTATCGTACCCAAGGTAATGCTTGATAACCACTCTTCTCAATAATTTTCAAGTACCTGACTTGAATGCCCGATGTTGTGAAATATGGTATTTCAAACCTCACTTGTATAGGAGGCCGRCCTTCAGTTTCCTCATTTTCAACACTTGGCAAACCGAAATGTGCTCTCATCAAATATTCTTTGCCACCCGGGAAAGACTTTATAGACCATACTAAAGAATTTTGCTCTGGCATATACTTAACTGAACCAACAGTAGTTTTGAATTTAGGAGAATCAGCATCCATTGGAACTTGAATGACTACTTCTACATTATTGGCAGTAGACCGACGCTTGAACTGTGATTTTGCTTTAACAATATATTCAACACGACTGTGGGCATGTCTTTCGATGACACTTTCAATCCAAATTAAAGGTTTTATGTGTGTACTCAGCCTGTAAGAAGATAAAAGTATTATTACTGAATTGTTATACTAATAAATTAAATTACTTAAAAATTGAACAATACCTGTATGTCATCAAATCAAATTCTCCATCTGGAGGAATAAACGATATAGTTCTATCATTTTCAAATCGTGATAGACGAACACATTGATGGAATTTGACATCTTCAAGTTCTACAGATTTAGATTTTCCACGTCCAGTGCTTTCAAACAATACCTTGTCATTAAGCCCTAAACGTAACTCTGGCATCCCAGACAAGTAGACTCTCATTTTAATTGAACCCACTATTTCACTCCTTAGTACATTTCCATTGGCACTGGCTAACAAATTTACTGATTCGATAACGTCTAAAAATACTTCATTTTTTCTATACTTGAGCCCTTCAGAGCGCCAAGACACAGCATTAGTCACCGCCATAGGGATCCTCGGTTGTATTTCTAATTTATGGCCATCTTGTGTGATATACTCTTGTAGGATTTTGCTGTCAGTAGTCTGTGGATATCCAAAGTCAAGCAGCTCATCCAAAAGTTCATATATGACTACAAAATTGTCACGTATACTCTCCTCTTCGATTTCCTTAAAGTATTCATTCATAACACGTACAATCTTGTGTAGGAACACAAACACCAGCATGATGTTGGCATTCTTCTTGGTCGTGGACACGACATACAGGTTGTTGCATTTTATGTATGTGAACGTACACTCTTCAGTCTGCAGTAGAGGCGTCAATGATCCCTCCTCTTCTTTTTCCATCAACAGTGGCATGAACTTCTCAATGACGTTGGGCGCGATGTCACCACGGTAGTTACGGGATATCAACACTTTGCCCTTGACGTCCAATATGTAGATAGCCGACGCAGACATGTCGTGTATAGAATGCTTACTGTTCACAGTCAATCACTTCATTAGACCCACTCTATTGGTAACGCGAGCAGCAACCACGACACACTAATAAGTAATAACTACACCCTGTCTAGACCAAAAATAAAGAAGTCTTGTTTTGCCGTTTCTTTCGTAGGCTTTCAAATTGTTTTATGCACTCTTTCTCACCAGCCACAACTCGCGCACCGGTATCGAATATCGATGTATTATTAATCCAATTTAATAGCCGACTTATAATTATTTAATTAGGTATGTAATACTTAATACTCACTAATACAGAATACTGTATTACTGTAATAATAATAATAAAAATTTTACCTAATATATTATCTTCGACGAGACAATCGAACCAATCAGCGTGTACTAACGTAAACGTGATAACCGTTTTATGATAAGCGTGGAACCGACCGAACGAAGTTGTCAGTGTTGTCTGAAAAGCGGCGAGTTCGACGCGTGGCCATTGTATTTTGCTGTATGGCCACACCGGATCCGCGCTCGATATCAAACTGTTATCATTAATTTACCAATTACACAGCGATTTTCACATTTTCATTACTATTTACTAGGTACATACTACATAATATTATTTACTATTTAGTATTTACCTATGTGACATGTGTGTATAGTGTAATTTGTAAATCCCTTTGTGTAGTATTACTAGTGTTGTAAGTCTGTAATAGTGTAATTACTTAGTAATAGTCCATTATTAAATAATAATAAATATAGATCGCTATTGTCTTCAATATTTTCTACGATATCCGACTACTGATCGTCTGATTTTCTATTTGACGGTTTTTAAACATTTCTTTTTTTAATTTCGCTGTGATAAATCATCACGTTGATCCTTCGAAAATGGCTGTAYGTAGAGCTAGTCACTCTGGGACATGGTACAACGAATCAGGTGCGTGATTTCCTTGTCAACGATCGAGATCAGAATAAAACGTAACAATTTAATTTTTTTCAGCTAAGGAGCTCAGCAACCAATTGGAAAATTGGTTAGGTGCCGCCGAACTCACTCACGGGCCCGCCAGAGCCATAATAGCTCCGTACGTAGTCTCTGAATAGTACATTCAATARTGAGTTATATTTTTTAATCCTCAACAAACCTAATGAATTTCTATCTTACAGGCATGCCGGATATCAGTATTGTGGTGCTTGTGCAGCATTTGCTTATCGCCAAATAAGTCCATTTGTCGTGTAAGTTACAATGATTACAAAACTTTTCATAAGTAACTCTAGTTATTTTTAGGCAACGTGTTTTTATACTTGGACCCTCGCATAATGTCCGTCTGTCTGGTTGTGCTTTGTCAAGCGCTGTTAAGTATAGAACACCATTTTATGATTTACAAATAGACAATGAGGGTAAGAATTTGCAATACTTAAGTAAAATTATGTCATCGTTTACAATTTGTATTTAGTATATAATGAGCTTGAGTCTACTGGACACTTCGAACGAATGAGTATGAAAGTAGATGAAGACGAACATAGTATAGAAATGCAATTGCCATACATTGCCAAAGTGATGCAAGAGTAATAATCATAAAAAAAGTTTACATTTTTAGCAACGATAATTCATGCACAATTTGTTATTATATTTTAGTTACAAAGATAAATTCACTATTGTGCCAGTAATGGTTGGTTCATTGAGTACTGAAAAAGAATCTCTGTATGGACATATATTCTCTCAATATTTAGCAGATCCAAAAAATCTTTTTATTATATCATCAGATTTTTGTCATTGGGGACAAAGATTTCGCTACACATTTTATGAAAAATCTTGGGGTGAAATTCATCAATCAATTAAAACTCTGGATCATAAGGTAGAATATTCTTTAAAGATTATGATTAAATTTGCTTACAATTTTAAAAGACTGAAAATTATTTCAAATTAAAATTCATTATCATAATTGTAGTTATTATATTGTGACTTGTTAATAATTATGTACCCACGTCATTTTTTTTTTTTTCAAGGGCATGGATACTATTGAAACTTTAAAACCAGCTGCATTTGTTGAATACTTAAAAACTTTTTCCAACACCATATGTGGCAGACATCCCATCAGTGTTTTATTGCAGGTAAATTAGAATAATCAATCAAATTGATTACCATTAAATATTGGAATACATGTTTTAGTTTAACAATATCAGTGCATATAATATTACATTTTTTTTAATAGGCGGCTTGTCACTTACGAAATCAAAAATTGTCACTCAAATTTTTAAAATATGCTCAGTCCAGCAAATGTTACAACCTGGGTGATTCATCAGTTAGCTATGCTTCTGCATCCCTTATAATTGAATAGCAATACTACTTCATAGTGAATTTTTTCAATTCATATTTTTCTAAAAATAAGTTATCAGTAAAAACCTATATACTTAATTACATATTAAGATTGTAAACCTTAATGGTAATCAAGTTTTATTTAAATTTGTTTATATTATTATCCTGTAAGTTTTTTCTTAATAAAAAAACACATTATTTTTATATAAATATATTTTGTAAAATTGATATATATCATGAAAAAAATATGTCATGACTGATGATAAAAAATAACTCAAAATATAAATTACTTTTGTTGAAAAAGCAATATATTTTAGTTTAGTCATTCAATCCCTTGTTCAGTAACTCTAAAAGGAACACTTGTTGGAGCTGTATGTGGGCTGAACATTACTTCAATGTATCTAGAAGAATGTGTCTTGGACATCATAAGCCTAGTAGTCACCAAATTAGCCCATGAAAGTCCTAAAGATGGAACTAATTTATATCCCTCAATATCTGATATTGATGATGTCACCTATTAATGAAAACATGAAGATGAAATTAATAGTTTGTTAAATTTGTTTTTGGACATATCTTTATTACCTGATTAACACATAAGATCCATAGTCCATGTTCAACAGATAGCTTATGTAGGAAAACGGCTATATCTCTGAGATCTCTGGATCTACGAGGTATATCACTTGGTGTGTATTCACCACGAAATACTGCTGTTATACTATCAATGATAATAAGTTTTATAGGTCTGTGTAACAGTGCTTTTGGAAGCATTTCATGGATGCATTTTTTTAAATCTTCCTAAAATTAATGAAAACAGTTGGAAAAAATCTTTCAATCAAAATAAAATAATTTACCACAGTTGCTATGTGACTAATGAGAATATTGTCTCCATAATCTGTTTGACATAATTCATTCATATAAACTGTATTGTCACATTGATACTTAAAACGAACATTAGAAATCATCTGCTGTATTCGACTAGAGGGAAATCGATCTTCAGTACAAATGTATGCAGCTCCTTAGTTTAGACAAAGGTCAAGTTTAGAAACTGTTATACAAAACAATCAATTATTACCAACCAGATTTTGCTCCTTTAAGTGGTAATGGTAGTTGGACAGTGAGTGCAATCTGCAAACAAAATTGTGTTTTCCCACAGCCACTTTCGCCTGAGATCTCTGTTATGCCATATTTGAATAAGCCTCCCCCCAAAAGTTTATCAATGTGTTTACAGCCTGTAGTAAGTACTTGGTTGTTTGATTCTTGATGGCATCTATAACAGTATTGAAGATTAAAACACAATACTTTATAGTTTGGTTTGAAATTCATTTTACTTGACATTTGAAGCACTTATATTAGCTGCTGCAATGAACACACGGTGAGTGGCTACAACTGTCAAATTTGCTTTTTTTCTAAATTCTGCCTCAGTATACTTTAATATATTTATGGATGATAAAAAACCTCCTAAACAATGCAAAACAGTAATTATTTGTAAGCAATCACAATTATATACTATTTTTGGAATAATATTTATAATGTAAAATTATGTTATATTTTTATTTCTATTTTCACAATTAATCAATTTAACTATTAACTTATGACAATAATATAATCATGGCATGAAAATAGTGATGATGAGCTACCAAAAAAAAAAAAATATATATAACTTCAAAATTCAATTGAATTATGTGGATTTTATATTACACACCTATATTTTCATAATATAGTAAATTACTTATGTTTATATTACTCTAGATTGTTTACATTATGTGAACATTTACCAACACTTCATTATAAGCCATCACAAGTAACAGTTTCAAGTTTATAGAATTAAAGTTATTAACAATATGGCTCTTGTAAGTTTTCATTGACAGAAAGAGATGTCCGCATTTGATTAAGATTACTGAATAGTATGTACAAAATTACATGTCATCATATACATACTATTGAAGTTCTTAGCAAGCTAAAAATCTATTGGTTTATAAATATATAAGCAATAAGCATATATTAAAAAAAATATTATATAAACAATCAAATTTAGGTTATTTTTGGAGACTTCTGAAAATGATTAGTCTTTGCTTCCTTAAAAATAACATAATTTAACATTTTTACCTCTAATTAACGCGGCCTGTGTGTATGGGTCAAAAATGCTTAAATCCAAATCATCGTCAACTGAAGATGAATTCATTTCACCAGCAGTAGCAGTGATGTGGATTCACATTTCTCAAACGTCATAATTCACTCTTAGAACATATTTTTAAAACAATTGTGAATTCTAATGCAAGTTCCATACACATACTAAAAATACTTAGATAAATAGTTTAGAAGAGATGGATACTACAATATTAGGTACTGTACTTCACTATGATTTGTCCAGAATAATTTAAATCTGTCGTTCATTTATTCTGTGACTTAAAAAATTAAAGTATATTTGAATTATAATTTTAGTCTTTACTTTTAACTTTTTAAGTGCCCTAACACCCTCGCCTAACACCGTAGTGGCGCAGTAGTGCAGTACCGTATCACGCCACTATCACAAGACGTGCACCATTAACTAATAGCGTTTTCCACCTGACTGCACTAGTCACTAGTGCACTTTTTTATGTTTCACCAGCTATATTCCAGTGTGCACTAAATTACTAATTTTATGTTCCATGTTACTGCACTACGCAATTTTTTTTGCACTCAGTGCAGTGATAAACGATAGTTGCACTGTTCTGTGGTTGCACGAGCTCCTTGAACTATATAATAATTATTATATAGTTCAATGGTTCCAAGTTACGTACGCGCATGCGCGCGCACGCCTTTTCCTACTATCAACATATCTTATCAATAACTGATAAGCACTTATATAAATATAAACACATTATTTACAAATTTACAATATTAATTTTTATTATTATATTTTTACAATATGTCTCAATATTATTTATTAATTATTATAATTAATTAGTAAATAAGGTAATCGTCAATAGTTAATCTGGTCATAAAATAATATATAATAATATTAATATTTAATATAAAATATTATTTATTAATTATTATTGTAAGTTGTAACATTATTTATAATTTATTATACTTGTAAAATAGATATCCAAATTAAAAAAAACCACTGGAAAAATGTTTAATGAATCAAAAATAAGCTTGAGAGTTACTATTGATAAAGCTTTACCTTATAATAATATATTAACTAAGGTGTTATAATTAAGTGCTTTTAATGAATAAAAATCATTGTTATATTGTCAATAAGTTAATGCTTAGTTTATTATAGTACCTATTGTATTAGTATATTACTAATAAATACGGCGAAAGCTTGTAGGGATTAACTGGGCTGGTGGAAACAGAATATGTTGCTGAATAGTGAATGCTGAGAATCAACTCAGCCAGGGCCATAAGCCATAAAATTTAATAAATGTTTGTCCGGGCTCTTAATAAAACTTCTTAAAAGTAGCTTTATTAATTTATTAAATTTTAAGTATAGATTACCAATTGAAAATCAAAAKTTGMTAGTTGTYATTTTGCCTAATAAATATAAGGGTGAAAAATATAAAAAAATTATACAATTCTAGAACAGCATAAATCTACAAATTTGAAAAAAAAAATATTTGAAAAAAGTCAATACTTTTTTAAATAATGAGTGTTGTTTGATAAAAGAATCACCTTGTATTTTTTTTAAGTTAAAATTTTATTTTGCGGGCTTTGAGCTAATACTGGCTAGATATCATAGTATCATACTGACTTAATAATATAATTAGTAGAATTTAAAATTAAAATTAAAAACTTAGAATTTTTTTTCATATTTATCATGTAGGTATGATTATTATTTATTATTATTATTATAGTACTGTATATGGGGTTCGGACCCCCGAAATTTTTAAAAACATTTTTAGTCTGAATGGAATCTAAGCTTTTTTAACCATTTACTGAGATATATCAGTTTCAACAAAAAAACTTCCAGCAGATATAAGGCAGTATGAAATATTATGTTGGTTTGTACATTACACTATTGCTAAATCTGCTGTATATCAAAATAAAATAATAGATGAAGAAGATGTTGAAACTGTACCTGAAAAAGTTTCAAATGCAGTTTTAGGTAAGGCAAAAGCAATCAATGAAATACAGCGTTACTTATCTGAAGAAAGTTGGCTTGCTATCCAACAAGTAATTAAAATGAAAAAAATAACACCTACTTGGGTCTGTCTCTTATGCTCAAATGATGCTACAACAAAATCAATTTGTCGTAATCGTTGTTTAGAGTGGTTCCACTTTATTAGTGTCAATGTAAAGCCTAATTTAAAAAAAAATATAGTTATGCAAATTTTGCAAAACAAAACAAATTTAATCAAGTTTTATACTATATAATATTTAGACCATGAACTTTAAACTATTTTATTGATTTATTTACTTACTATAATTTTATAATTTATTATACACTGACGACTGACTTGATTTATTAAAATTAATCTGTATTATAATTTTAACATTGTTTAAACCTCAGTTAAAATATTTATATATAACTCATAGAGAAATATTTCTTATCAATATTATGACCAATCACAGGGCAGGACTTGAAAACAAATAATTTCACGTCGGACGTGAAAATAACCACTACGTTGACATTTAATAAAAATGATAAACGAATATTATTATTGTACCAGGTGTCCAGGTATAGGTAAATATAACGTTTTATAAAGAAAAATATAGATCATAATTCATAATATCTTAATTATTAATATTATAAGTTTTTCGAAGTTCGAACTCAATATGGATAGGCAATAGTCATGCTATTGTAAAAATCATGGATTACCTTTCTTCTAGTGTTAGTGATGACGATGATGAAATTATAAAGTATTTTATGTCCAGAAAACAAAGAATAATACCAAAAATTAAAAATTTTATTTTGGACATAGTTCATGTTTATATAGATAAACAAGTTAGTTCTTTATTATAAATATAACTATTTTTGTAAATGTTAGGTTTAGGCCTTAATGCGATTATAATAATAATTTTTTTTCAGTTTAAAGGTAGTTTTAGGGTGGAACGATCTACAACAATCGACATAACAATTTCTATATTTACGCCAACACAGCATATTATATCATTGGTAGAACCTATTAATGTACATTTGTTGCAAACGCGTGATGATTTTTTACAAAACATAACTGGGGCAATTCAAAATCCTTAGTCATCAGAAATAAAATGGGTTAGGAAAGGCGAAATCGTACGTAATAAATGATGATGATAGGCAGCCTATAGAACGATAGGCTTATGTATTATAGGGATATTTATAAAGGCACGCCAAAACTAGTAATAGCATTGCCATCTAGCTTAATCAAAGAGGTGATCGAGCACTTTCATAATGAAAAAATGTCTGGTGCGCATTTAGGTGTTCATAAAGTGTTCAATAAAATACGATCGCGATACCATTGGCCTACTATGCAAAAAGATATAAAAAATTATGTAATTTCATACAGAAAATGTCAAAAACGTAAACCAGATAAACAGCCAGCGGCCGGTATGTTACAACCACAGATCTGTGTTACAACCAAATAATATAACTAAAATGCAAAACTATTAAAAATACCTACACTATTGTATTAAAATATAACGTTAAGCAATTTTTTATTTTATCTATTTAAATTTTTATTTTTTTTGTTTTACAACCGACGAAACTACGTTAATATTGCTTAACAATAACAAGAAATTAAGTGGTTGTGAAATAATTTATTACGATGGTCTCTCGACTGTAATATTATTTACTACTTGGTAAATAATATGGAGTGAGATCCCCAAATTATCGTTACATGTTAATATTTTTAATTGTAATAATTCAATTTATTAATAATAACCAAAAAAATTATCTTAATTTTTTTTTTGATTTTTTATTTAAATATTTTAAATACTTAATCTAATATAGTAATATGTCACTTATACACGTACGTTCAATTGGTTACAATTTTTTTTTTTTTATATACTTAAGTCTTAACTATAATAGTACACACTTTCTATTTGCAGTGATCGATCTCTATATTTTTTTATTTGTTGAACATGTTTTTTTTCAGATTGTTTTTTGCCATTTTTATCAATTTCAATTAAATATGTGACTGGATTTATTTTTCTTAAAATTGTGTAGGGACCCTCATATCTATCCGAAAATTTATTATTTCTTACATTAATCTTTACTAAAACTTTTTCTCCTACAAAAAAATCTTGTTCTCTTTTCCCTCTGTCTGCATACAATTTTTGTTTATCAAACGCTTTCTTTAATATACCAGGTAATTTTTCACGGATTGAGTTTAATTTTTGTATTTCTATAATAATTGTGGAGTGATTTAAATTTGATGGAATAATTGCGATATCAAAAATTGAAACAGGCACGTAGCCATGTACTAAATAAAATGGAGTATATCCCGTTGAATGGTGTATGGCAGTGTTATATGCATGCAATACAATTTATCCACTTATCCCCTTCTTCAACGTATGGTGCTATCATGTCTATAATCACCTGATTTTGTGTTTCTACTTGTCCCTGACTAGTTGGCCTATAAGCTATTCCTTCCCTCTTTTGGATTCCTAAAGCTAATAATAGTTGCAAAATTACTTTTGCWGTAAAATGTGTGCCATTGTCTGATCTTACTACTCTGGGTGGGCCATATGTTACTATTAATTCTAACAAGAATTAATTTCGTCGTTGATTTAGCGTCGGCGTTTTTGTATGATCTTGTAAAGCAAAATTTTGTTGTTCGGCATGTAGCAACTAATATCAGTAATATGTATTTACAACCTCGTGACCCTAGCATAGGTCCTATATAATCAATATAAATCTCTTGGAAAGGTAACCACTTTTTAAAGGTAACCACTATTTATTATTAATTTTATAACTGCTCAAAATATTTATTTTTAAATTCTTAAGTTATTTACCTACTAATAGTAACTATAATATTTATTACCCAATACTCCAATATTCACTACGATTTATTTCTTACTAATTTATTTACTATAAACCTTATTCTATAAGGCCCCTAAGCTACTTTATTACATATTATCTTTTCTCAATTACTCTTTATTCAATATATACTCTCTTTAGTATTTCTCTTTTAATTCAACTTGCATATGTATGTGCGCACATTTATTTYAAATATTTATTCACTTATTTATTTCTTCTTTTAAAACTCAATTATCTATATAAAATATATTATATTATATTATATAATACAGGGACGGATTGGGCCATCGGGAAATCGGGAAATTCCCGATGGGCCGCGTGCTAACTAGTTGACGGGGYCRSTGCATGCGTTACCAAACTACGGCTGTAACCTGTCGCAAATTAAATTTTAAAATTTATAGATTTTCATAAATACGATTTTAAATTTTATTCATATCAATTATTGCAAACTATAAAGCAAT